GGTAAGAAGTAGCCAATTAATAATAATAATAATAATAATAATAATAATAATAATAATAATCCATTAGTCTTATATAGCGCTTTTCGAGACCCTCAAAGACGCTTTACAATTTTCATGGATCATTCATTCACACACATTCACACACTGATAATAGTAAGCTACACTGTAGCCACAGCTGCCCTGGGGCAGGCTGACAGAGGCGGGGCTGCCAATAATCCACTGTTTTTAACCTTAAAAACCATAAAAAAATAAAGCCACTTCTATATTGAAAGTTATAATGCTACTCCTAATTTTACACAGACGTCAGGACTTTTTAGCCCTCTTGCGGTGAACCCAAGAGCCTGCTTGTAAAAATGATTCATCTAAATTCAGCACTTCAGCACAGAGTTTAGATTATTCTTTATTATTATTTATTTCTTAATAAGAAAAACTGATTTGCACATTGGCACAGTGTTTAACTCTGAGTCTCTGAACAAAACTCAAACAAATATTATTAGTCACCTTTTTGTTAAGATAACCCAAATTACTGCTTAGAAAACCACTGCACTTTTTTTTTCACTTTCAAATCAGAAAATCTTACCATGAAAGAGTTTTCTGTGTATTCATACGAAAACTGCCACATGGGATGTATGGTCTGCTGAAGTTGTTTACCATCTTGATAACACAATGCAGACAATGACGATTTAACCAACCAACCCACAGAGATGGGTGAATGTTCTGAGAAATTTTCTGAGACTGCAGGGACACATTTCCATAAAAGCTGTACTTCCTAGATGTGTAAATCTGTGGGAACTTTCTATTGGGTTACAAAGCTAAATTACCACCATAAAATATGTAATATATATATATACATTTTTATGTGAAATGTACAATAAAATATTAGTGCTGGGCATAGATTAAATTTTTTAATCGCGATTAATTTCAAGATATTTTTGTGATTAATCTCAATAAATTTTGGAAACAATCCCTCGACTATGGCTGAATGTGTACGTTTGTATGTTGCAATACACTCCATGTGTGACACACTATGTTCAGTTTTTTTCTTTTGTTTTTCTTTTTATCTTTTTATGGCTTATTTTATTTATTTATTGCTGACAACTGTGACCTCAGTATCTATCTTTCATTCCTCATGTAGTACCCATTTGGAATGAAAAAAACTAACCAATCCTTGAATTCTTGATTTAGCCTCATTATTCTACACAAAATTTAACTGACTAAAAGACGTTTAGAGCCTTTTTAGGTACTGTTTTATATGTATTTAAAAAAAGGGGGAAATGCATTTTCAAAAGCTTTAAACAAACAGGGCAAAGCTTTTATTCTCCAACATGCTGGTCAGCGTTGTCTACCAACCTCTTTCTGTTGGTTTATGCTGGTTTTAAATTGAAGTGATATTTCAGGCTCGAACTGCTCTGGTGGTGAGARGGTTCAATGTTGCAGCGCTTACAGAGAACTTTTCTTCTTTCCAGCCCACTGCTGGGAAAATTTTTAAATAYAAAAAATGCCCTAAAAAATCTGGTGACTTCCACCATGTTTCTGCCTCAGCTGCCACGCAACGAATCGACAAAAAAAGCTCTCAGTGGATGAGGCACATGACGAAGGCCATCTAAAGTGACCAAGAGCCCACCTCCCCACTGTAACCTCTGAGTTTGTGTGTCTGTGTGTGTTAGCCAGTCCAGTGAAGAGAGATCAAATGGAGAAATATAAAGAAATAAATAACTGRGTAAAAAAATTACCGCTGTTAAGCGTCAATAACGCATTAACATGCCCAGCACTAGAAAATATAATACACTGTTAAATACAATGAAAAAAAAATTAAAATAGCTGACGCAGTTTAAAGTTGCAACTCTTCAGGGGTCTGCAGAATACTTAATAATACTGACCTCAATTTTAAATAAAAACATAAACAAACCAAAAAAACACAAACCTTGTGTCAACATATAAAYTATCTGCTTAGGCATCAAAACTTTGGTCAAACAATATGTCACAGTATGAGAGACTTTAAGGTGCAACTTACTGATCAAGAGCTTTGTAGTAGATATCCAGGTCTTTAATGACCAACTCAGTGGTCCTCATTGTGATCATCTTGTTTTTGTAGAGCTCGTCAGCTTTGTCGTATTGTTCCTCTCGCAACTCTTTTCTGTAGGTAACATATTTCAAGAGAATGTTCAATTTTAGGAGAAAAAGAAAAGTTAACCACTTTACTTTGCTCTCTGTTGTTGACATTGTTTTAGAAGTAAAGTTCTACGATTTTTCCACAAATTCAAACCCCTTACACATGTCTTGTTAAAAACAGTTTTTCACCTCAGACCACAACTAGCTTATCCTTTATAACTAATAAATGTGGTATATATTGATAAAACTGTCCTATATTGTAGAATAAATGCAACAGTATCAAAAAGTAACAAAAAAACATAGAGAAAAAACGTCCTTTCACACTATATCTTAGCTGATATTGGTTCAGTTCAGGCTAAAATATTTGTCTGTATCACCTGTAAGTTAGCAGCTCCTCTTCAAATCCTTTCTGACGACCCAGAGCAATGCTGCGGCTCTTCTTCAAATCTTCTAGCTTGTTTTCTGCTTCACGGCGTTCTCTAGAAAACCCAAAAAAGCATCCAAATCATACTTACAGCTTCAATATTACCAACAATAAAACATCTGACAGTGATACTGTACAGTCAGTTTGTGGGAAGAACAATTACTCTACAAAGACCTCTCAGGTTTACAGACTAAAGAGAACAGTCTCTTTCGRACCGGCGTAGCTGCAAGACCTGCATGCTGCCCATTTCTTTCAGGAGAGCTTCACGTTTAGTCACAACTTCCTTCAGCTCCTCATTACGCTTCCTCAACGTCAGATTGTCCTGCAACCAGCGCTCCTGGACCTAAAGAAATATAAAATATACATACTTTAAAAAAATGTGCTTATTTTTAGTATGCATGGTCTCAAAAGGCAAAATTTACCAAAAATATTCTATAATGTGAATAAAAAAGAATGGCATTGGACAAGAGTATATATATATATATTTTTTTTTCTTTCTTCTGTCGATCTTGTAGTCTTAAAAGACACAAAACACCAGAAATGAAAACAGTAAATCAGGTAGGATTATTTACCTTTTGAGTGTCAATGTCCTGACGAATGTTTCCCATCTCTTTGTTGATTTTTTCTTTTTGCCTCTCAGCTTCATGGAGCAGAGTGTGGGTTTCCTGAAGCTCAGACTCTTTTTGCTGCAGCCAAAAACACAGTCGATTAATAGATTAAAAAATAATAACAATAATAACAATAATAATAATAATAATAATAAATTATCACAATTTTACAACAGATAAGATCATTCTAATTACTTTTAAAGAAAAAAATAACAATTTTTTTCAAAATCTAACATGTAAATAATAAAAAAAATAATGCATTAGTCTAATATAGCGCTTTTTGAGACCCTCAAATACACTTTATAATTCACACACTGATGATAAGCTACAATGTAGCCACAGTTGTCCTGGGGCACACTGACAGAGGTGGGGCTGCCATATTGAGCCACAGGACCCTCTGACCACCATCAGAAGACAAGTCAGGTGAAGTGTCTCACCCAGAGACATAACGACTGAGACAGCTGGAACGGGYGATGGAAACTGCAACCCACCAGTTACAGGACAACCCRRCTAACCACTCCYCCACAGCCACCCACAAATCTATCTACAAATCTGATAATGACGACTGACAGTGACAAACACATTACCTCTTTGTACGCATCTTTTCCATCATCTTTGTATTTAGTGATCTCCTGTTCGAATGCAATGATTTTCTTCACTCTCTCTTTAATGGCCCTGATCTGTCAGAAAGAGTTAGCAACGTGATTGCAAAGGAAATTGGTAAACATTTGGTTTTTTTTTTTGGTAGACACAGGAMGAGAAATATAAATGCTATTATAACACAGAACTAGTGCTTTTCCTTCAGGCACTTTTTAAGAAATGTAACTTTTGTTTGACACTGCTCAGATTTTATAAAAAGGGGCAACATGCAAAGCTTCTTTTCTTATGGGTGTTTTAAAAAGTTAGTTAATATACAATAATTATGAACACAGAACAACTCAGATGTACTAAAACAGTACCACAAAAAAGCAGTAAGTGGTCACAAGAAGAGACTTCTGTAAGTAAAATAAAGAGCTGAAGCTGAACTGCAGCTTTAAACAAAGAGAYTTAAATGACAAAAAGAAGTTAGAAAATGCATCCACCTTTTCTTGCCCTTCTTCATGTTTTTGTCTCTTGCGCTCTGCCAGTTCTTGTTTTTCTTGCTGCAACTTCTCCAGAGTTGCAGACAGAGGCAACAGTTGTTCCTTTGCCCCCTGATTGACAAAAAGATAAATATAAATATTAATATTMTATTCGTAAATGAATAAAAACTTGAAATAAAAAACAGGAATGTACCCTGATGTCCCTGGTCAGAGCCTGGATCTCTGTGGTGAACTCGACACACTGCTCCTCCAGCTGCTGCTGTTTCTGCATGTCGCTGCTGAGCTTGAGRTTGTCTGACCTCGTCTCATTCACTGCACTTTTAAGCATTTGGATCTGATCCTGCTGGTCCTGGATAAGCTTACGGTTTAACTCCATTTTGCTGGAGACTAGAAGAGCAAAGAGGCAAAAATTGTTAATCTTTCTGTCAATGGAAACATTCAAAGAAATCTCTGTTTTTTTTAAAGGGATCCCTGATTAGTTGTAATATTTGACTTAATTTGATAAACATATATTTTAACTGTAAAATAAAGACTGTAAAATACTGTTGGATGCTTAGTTTTTATAATTTTTTTAAAATATATTTTAACATGGACGGAGCCATTTTATTTATACATAAAGCATTCTGGGTAAATGATGATGTGAATAGGTCCTCGGTGCGAGGCTGCTAGCGAGCTGTATCCACCCTGAAGGTTAATCTTGGACAATATCTGATGATCGACTCTTTTAAATGAAACCAGAGAGCGTTGACAGAGAGGAGAAGGTAGAAATGACTCAGCCTGGAACTGAAAATATGGATGGAGGACAACAGAGCTGCTTCATGGAAGAAGAACCTCAGCTTAGCCTGTTAGCCTTTGCGCTAGCACCGACGTTAAATGCATTGCCTTATATATATTAGCTCGGTGCTAGTACGACAAACAAGCTAAACTGAGGTCCTCCATCCATATTTTCAGTTCCAGGCTGAGTCATTTCTACCTTCTCCTCTCTGTCAACGCTCTCTGGTTTCATTTAAAAGAGTCGATCATCAGATATTGTCCAAGATTAACCTTCAGGGTGGTAATAGCTCGCTAGCAGCCTCGCACCGAGGACCTATCCATGTCATCATTTACCCAGAATGCTTTGTGTGTAAATAAAATGGCTCTGTCCGTGTAATATATTTTTTAACTTTTAGTTTAAAAATTATAAAAACTAAACAGCCTACAGTATTTTTACAGTCTTTATTTTACAGTTAAAATTAATTTTTATCAAATCAAGTCTAATGTTACAACTAATCATGGATCCCTTTAAGATGTGTGTCCACATGGAATGTATGTGAAGATTTAGACTTTACGTGTCTCATTTAATAGATGAGAATGTTTATACAGCAACAATGAGTTTGTCTTACTTGTGTCCAACTTGTGCTGAGTTTCTTGTTTCTCCTGACTAACTTGCTGAATGTTTCTGGTCAGATCGACGCCCTGGAGCTTTGCTGTGTGCTGAGCTATTTTCCTCTCCAACTCTTTTAGGTCCATCTAAAAATAAAACGATAAGAATATCTACATATACTGGCATACAAAACACAAGGAAATACATTCATTGGCAGGTTATTATTTAAAAGCAAAACACAACCCCTTTTGTGTCGATGCAGTTGTTTTGAAATTAAATAAAAAAACAGGAGAGACTCGAAAAAAGACACTTTCAAAATTAATAAAAACTGACAGGTTAGGCAATTCTAAATATTTAAAATTCTGCATGGAAAATGATCACTCTGCAATGAAATAGGAGGGTTTTTGAAACTTTTTGTTTCATCAGAGACTGGAGCTGAAGTTAGGAACAAGACTGGTGTAACTAGTGTGCTGAGCAAGACACAACAGACACCTCAGGGCACTCCCAGATGTTTTTTATTCATGTCCTGTGTGATCAGATTTGTAAAAAAAGGCAATGATTTGGTGAGAAGATGCCAAAATGAGGGTGTTACCAGGTATCTGTCCATAAGAGAGATGTCCTGCAGGCAGGCCTTGGCTGTTTCCTCCTCAGACATCAATGTCTTGAGAACAGTCTCCTGCTCGTCCACAACAGTTTTGAGCCTCTCGATTTCTCTGTTAACAGCCTGAAGACGGTTTCTCAGCTCCGGCAGCTCCTTCTCCTGAAACTGTACAATGGACTGCCTAGAAGAAATAAAAAAAAAAATCAGAAAAAGTGTATAAGGAAGTTCCATTTGGAAAGTTTGAATCCAACAACTATTCTTTTTTCTTTAAAAGCCCGTGGACGGTGCTGAGGGAAGGTTTTCTTAAAAACTTTTACATTTTAATAGAAACATGACAACAATAAAAAATAAAATCCAAATTTGTTGAGTCGTCATGCAAAAAATGAAGACATGCACTCTTGCTAAAGGTGATGTCTACGAC